CATGGCCCCTCCCCTGAGCGGGCCCAGCTCACAGAGACCCGGAAACGGAAACGCAGCAGAGCTGCCCGTGTGGGCCCCAGCAGCAGGCCACTCCTCCTCCCTCACCACCCACGTGGAGTTTTGCCCCGTGCCTTCCTGACTGCCACCGGGGCCCCTGGAGGGGACGCTATGGGCTCCAGCTACCAGGATCCTATGGACTTCAGGGTAACACACAGCACATGGACACGGGTGCTAGGGAGACGGGGAGGAGGACCTGTGGGAATTCATGCTACCTGTCCAACAATTCTGTACACCCCACCCCGGGGCTGCTCCTCTACTGTTCCCTCCCTCCCCTCCCTCAAGTCAGTGCCAACTCACAGAGCCTACGGGACAGGGTAGCGCTGCCCCTTGGGTTTCTGAGACCGGAACTCTCGACGGAGCAGGAGTAAGAACCCACTGCCGTCGCTGTGGACTCGGGGGGACCCTGCGGGACAGGGTAGACAGAGCTGCCCCGAGAGTGCCCAAGACCATAACCGTCTACCAGAGCAGAATGGTAGACAATGGGTTGCCAACTGCAGGGTCAGCAGTTCAAAACCACCAGCCCCTCCAAGGGGGGCAGTCAGGGCTTTCTACTCCCGTACAGTCACAGACTCAGACATCCGCAGAAGCTGCTCTGAGTCAGCACTGACTCGACCACAGCAGGGAAGACCTGCCAGAAGCAGAAAAGCCCCCTGGCCGTTAGAGTTAGGGTCAGTGTTACGCACAAGCACTGTGGCCTGGGGCTCCTTCCACGTCTACAATGAAGGAAAAGAAAGGCGAGGCCAGCGCAGGAGGAGGACTAGGCGGTGAGGCGGCGGCAGCGGCACAGGAGAGGGACCCCACAGGAGGGTGTGAGCAACACCACAGGAGGGAGGGGGCACAGCAGGGCCCAGGGGCGCCACACCGTCAGGAGCTCTCAGAGGACCATGGTGGTGAGACAGGAACCCCTTCTCAGGGGTCTTCCCAGAACTAAGCAACGGTGCGGTCAAGAGAAGGCGCAGCTGTACAGAATGGGGTCACAGCCTGCCCCCAGAGC